TCTGGCACCTGCACTGCCTGGACCACAGAGGGTTCAGCAGGAGAACGCCCAGGTGTCTCCTCCAGCCCCAGGAGCTCTTCATGGAGAGGCCACGTCTGGCAAGACACCTTGGACACCTGGGATAACCAAGTGCCTGTCTGGATGCCCAGGAGGACACTTGCTAGGGTGGAAACATCCCTGGAAGTGTTCAAGGCAAGACTGGATGGGACTTGGAGCAACCTGGGCTAGTGGAAGGTGTCCCTGCCCACGGCAGGGGGTTGGAACGAGACGAGTTTTAAGGACCCTTCCGACCCAAACCATTCTGGGATTCCATGAAACCCAAGCCCCCAAGGGCAAAGGATGGATCCTGCACCATTTCCCAGCCTTAAGGTGCTACTGCAGTTACAGATGTCAGGAAGAGTGAGATATCCCATCCCTAGACACCCAGAGCTTCAGAGAAAAACACACAAGCTCTTCTCCAAGAGGTCTGACCCACATCCTCTTCTCTCCAGGGGAAAACCAGCACAGGTGATTATTTCAAGGCAGAACAGCAAAATTGGCTTTTTTTTCCCCCTTCTGCTTTCAAGGAAAACCAGGCATGTGAGGCACACAAAGGTCTGAGTGCTTCTTCTCCTGTGCAGCTGTTCTGTAACTACAACTGCCCACAGGTCCCTAAACCTTTGAACATTTGAGTCCCACTGACTTGCAACAGGTTGCAGACATGAAGTTATTTAAAGCACTTGTAAAATATTAATTGACATTTGCCTTACAGAAGGGGAAAAAAAGGGAAGAGACAGAGACAGGAACCCCAGGGATCCAGACGATCCAATTTCAGGCACCTAATTAAAATTAAATTTCAATTAATTTCCAATTACTTTATTTTAAACTTATTTTTGTATTTATACTTTTTTTTTTTTTTGGTTAAGTTGCCTAAAAATGAGTCTGTCCCTCTGGTTGCTTTTCAATTAGATATCATCCTGACACTCAAATTGATGCTTTTATTTGCTAACTCCGAGGTTATTCAAAATCCCCACACATTTAATTCAAGGACTTCAAGAGAACTTGACAGACATTCCCCACCTCCCTTTTTCACTACGTTGGGGATGATGAATCATTATATTTACTACTATTTTCTTCGCAGTGACGTGTTAAACTTCACTCAAGTGGAAACTGAAGAGCGGAATGACAAGGTGGCTTTGGTGCTGTGGAATACTCAGGGAGAAAACAATGGGATCAAAGCTTATTCTGCTTGTATTGTGCCTTTCAATTTTCTATTTTGAGTTATTTTTTTCTTCATATTTTTTGTTTTTCTCCTCAGTCTCAAGAGTTTGGAAGCAACAAATCCTTCCTTAACCTGGGGGTTGAAGGGGGAAGCATCCCCGGCCTCAGCTCAGCCCCGATGATTTTCTTTGCTTTGAAGGGGCCAGCCCTGGAACAGAACCCGAAAATTCAGCCAAAAGGAGGAAAATTTAGCCCTTCAACAACCTCTTTACAGACACTTTCCTATAAACTCCTCACCCCCAGCAGTTTGACTTGAAAACTCCAGCAGCAAACAAGCAGCACTTGAATATTTAATGTGAAGCACACAGCAACTCATCCTGGTTATTGTGTGGAGTCGAATTTTCATTCTTTCCTTACAAAAAAAAAAAAAAGCCTTAAATAAAAATTAAGAAAGCCCTGTTTGTTTATCTGTCTTTTTCTGTGTTTACATCCCACACTTAGCCTGAATTCCCCTAGCATTGTACAAAGGCTGGGAGCTGCTGTGGAGAAAGCGGATGGTTGACGCCGTGATAAATACCTGGAGGCTTCTCTGCCATCACTAATGAGCAAAAATATGTATAGAAGTAGAGGGGAAAAAAAAAAAAAGCTTTCCAGAAGTTGGAGTTACAGTGCTCATCTCTGGAAACATTCCCACTCGTTTTTGGGAGCGTGCACGCCGGGGGGGGAGAGAAAAAAAAGAATCCAACAGAACCTGTGGGCGTCCGAAGCCACCTCAGCTTTGAGAGACTGAAGATCTGGTTTAAAATTGGCAAAAACATCCTTCTGCAGAAAGACAAACTGCAGACAGACACGATTCAGTGCTGCTCGGGGGTAAACCTGCACCGGGAACGTTTGCAGGGAAAGTAAAGCAGAGGATGCGACAGCAGAGAGGGAGCAAGAAGAAGTGCCCCAGAAAGCTCTGCACCAGATTCCGTGCACTTTGCAATGGGAAATGGGTTTTCTCCTGAAAGCATTGCTGACATGTCAAGTATGTCTTCTTTGCCTCTTTCTTCCCCCACAAAAACCCTCAACGAGCACTGGTTTAAATCAGAGCTGCTTCTGTTCTGAACAGGGAGTTCCTGGTCACTCCAAGATCTCTCCTTCTGTAGGATCTGACGTCGGTCCCTGCACTTACTGCTTGAGTGCAGCCACTCCAGGGTCACGGTGACAGATGCAGTTGTAGAGAAAACTGAATATCCAATAAACAACTCAGTAAAGTGACTTCTCTGTGCCAGTCCATGACATGTTCTTCCCAGGATAAGCTCCGTGCTGCCGCACCGGGCTGGAGCCCCGGGCGATGTGACCGGCTCCCGATGGAGCTGAGCCAGGATCACAGGGAGCAGCAGGAGCCGTGGCCGTGCCAGATCATCAGTGGCTTACCCAGGAGCACACAGGGGGACTGATGACAGCAAATAAAACACCCCCACCGAGCCCAAGATGGGCACAGCAGGAGCTCCGACCTCGGGGAGCGGTGACGCCGCAGCCGGCGCTCGGATGTCCTCATGACAGTGTTGTGCCTGGCAGCTCCTTCCAGACATGCCAGCCTGGAGCACAGCACCACGGCCCCAGGGACGAGCCAGGATCCTCAGGAGGCAGGACACAGCCCTGTGTGGTGCTCAGGGGGCTGGGGAAAGGGAGCAGGAAAGCTGCCAGCTCGCAAACATCCCACGTGTGCTCCCTGGGCTGACAGTGACACTCACGCGGGGGACTCAATTCGGGAGGGGATGAAGACCCTGTCACAGCCCCCCTGCCATCCGCCTGCGTGGCTACAGCAGGGACAAGAGCTGCCAGCCTGAAGAGGTCTCATTTAAATCAACAGAGGAGCAAAGATGCATCGCTGTGTTGTGGTTTTTTGGGGCTTGTTTTTCGTGTGCACAGTTGAGTGACACTATCGGGTCTACAATCACTTCTGCATAGTTTCCAATTGCATGTACCTTCAGTGCAAGGAGCTGGAAGATTCCTGGCACCAGCACATGCCCCAGAGGACTGAAATCCTACATTTCCTGCCCCCAAAGGCTTTTCAACCCCTGGTGGCCCATGGGCACTGCAGGAGCCAGAACCAGGCTCCAGGTCCCCCTTCACTAGGGGACGGCCAGTTCCCCCCATCAGCACAGCGACCCCTCTGATGCAAATGGCCACGAAAGAGAAGAAACACCACCTCCCCCATCCAGCAAAAATTGGTTTAAAAACCAGCGTAACAGGCAAGAAGTTACCACTCCCTTCAAATCCCTAATGCGCAGCCCGAGAGACAACGTCAGCAAAAACTGCAAAGCCAACGCCGATTTTTGTTTTTTAAACTGTGCGAGCAGCAGTTCTTCAGAATTCAGCTTTTCCCCAGTTTTGTTTTCCTCGTGAAATCTGCCAGTTTGAATCATTTCCCCGGATCAGGAAAAGTGCTTTCTGATCCTCCGTCCCCAAACCCGACAGCTTTGCTCGTAACGCCTTTAGAAAGAAAGGGGAGGGAAAAAAAATAATAAATCTTTCTGTTCTCTTACTCCATCCTCAAAGAGGCTGGTTTTATTCCTGATGCTCCAGCATATTTCTGTCTTTTACCACACTTCAAGGCTATTTTTTTCCCTGCCAAAATATGCAAGGAAAAGCAACACAAGCCCTGCAGCTTTGGGGGAAGGGCCAGCCCCTGCAGCTCTTATTATCTTTGGATGGGAAGAGGGAGAGAGAGACAGAGACGTTGTTAATGCCTCGGATATTTCTATATCCTACCACTGTCCTACCGAGGAAGTCTGAAATATAAAATGCCATTGGAAACGTCACATGGGGCATTAAAAAACCCCACTGTAAGAGCCTAATTTGCTTTATTATCAGCATCTGGAGTTTTTTTTTTTAATCCTGGTTACGCAGCTCACATGCTGCTCCTCTCAACTGAAACCAGTTCCAAACCTTCACCTGGGGGGGGAGTCACAAGTTCCTAAACATGTCTCTGGCGTCAAACATTTTATGGGCTTCAAGGTTTCCTTGCACCTGGGATGTGATGTGACATCCAGCTGCACATCCAGCCAGGGGAAGAGCGAGATGGGGCAAGACTCCAGTCCTGGGTCGCTCCCCTACTGCTGACAGCACAAAGTGTGGAAGTCTGTGCACGCTGTTATTTTGTGGGATTAACCCCATCCCCTCAGCCCCCACCAGCAAACACAGAACTGCCAAGTGCGCTCTACATCAACTCAATCCACTGCGGCTGTGATGATCCATCACCCCTAAACCCACGGTCCAACCACACGGATGCTCTTCTCCAATGATCCATTTAAAATGGGGGGGGTGACATCAACTGCTCTGCTGACAAGTCAGACAGAGAGCGAGCAGAGCTTCAAAGGTTCACTTCCTTCCCCCAGAACAAGACACAAACTCCTGCAATCTGTTATCTGTCAGGAAAGAAGTAGCCCAAAGAGATTCCCATTGTTCTCCCGCTTCGGTTTCCCAAACTGACATCTCAGCCCAGTGGGTCTGGATGGAACCCAGGGAAGTCCCCAGAAATGCCGGGCCTTTGGAAAATCAGAGTTTATGCTTGGAAAGCATCACTTTATAGGCCTTGCTACCGAGAGGATTTCCCACACGTCCCATCAGAATGATCCCAGCACAAATCCTCTGTCAGGCTGAGGATGAGGCACCATGCAGGAGTCTGGACAATGCACACGCTGATTATCCTTAACCTTCCCAACTTCAGCAACAAGTGTCCCAGGAGCGTGGATGACAGAGCAGCTAAACAGAGTGAGAGATTCAAAAACCAGGATGGTTTGTTTGGGTTGGAAGGGACCTCAAAGAACATCTTGTTCCAACCCCCTGCCATGGGCAGGGACACCTTCCACCAGCCCAGGTTGCTCCAAGCCCCGTCCAGCCTGGCCTTGGACACTTCCAGGGATCCAGGGGCAGCCACAGCTTCTCTGGGTAACCTGTGCCAGGGCCTGCCCACCCTCACAGGGAAGAATTCCTTCCCAATACCCCATCTAACCCTGCCCTCTGTCTGTGAGAAGCCATTCCCCCTTGTCCTGTCCCTCCATCCCTTGTCCCCAGTCCCTCTCCAGCTCTCTTGGAGCCTCTTTAGGCACTGGAAAGGGCTCTAAGGTCTCCCTGGAGCCTTCTCTTCTCTAGGCTGAACAGTCCCAATTCTCTCAGCCTCTCCTCAGAGGACGTGTGCTCCAGTCCTTTTACCATCTTCATGGCCCGAGAACATCCCTGTGCTCCTCACACCCCTGGGGCACCCCCAGCCATCAGCCCCGTTCAGTACAACCAAAGCAAAGCTCTCAGCTTTTCACCCCCAGCTCCACAAAACAACGGGCATCTGTTCGCCGACTCCGACACGACACAAACCCAGACTTTACAGAGTTTATCCAAAGCAATTCTTTCCAGCTCAGGAAAACCAAGGCTGTCCTGGCTGAAGGACAGTCCACGCTGTTGCTCTGCACGTCGGCTGCCGGGCAATCCTGCAAACTGCCCCGAGCAAATGGCAAAAATGCTGTTGGTTTGGTTTTTTTTCCCCTTTCGATCGGCATCTCTCTGAGATGCTCCCACAGGAGGAGTCTGGCTCCACTCCCTGGAGACCCAACAGGAACAGGACTTGCCGTGCCCATGGTTTGGGAAACCCCTCCTACCCCTCTCCACAGATGTTCCTCCAAACAGGAATGCTAAGGGGACCGACACCTCCCTGTCCTGATGAACACATGGCCGTGTTTGTACCAGCGCTGCTTTAATCGTCCCCACCAGGTGCTCTAAGGACAGGCTGGACCACGGAGGGACCGTTGCAGACCTTTTGATGGGGAAAAAGAAACAGCCTTCAGGGTTTATTTTTCCCCCTGCAGAGTCTGCAGTGTCTGGTTATGAGCCCTGGAGCCGTGGTCCAGGTGCCTGGCTTGAGGACACGAGCCGTCCCCTGCTTCCCTGGGTATCCAGCTGGAAAAGGTCCAGAGAGCTCTAATTAACCAAACTGCTCATTTACCTTCACGGAGCCGCTTTTCCCAAGGGCTCCAGCGGAGGTGAGGGAGGGATGCTGCGCCCTGTGGGGGCAGAGGGATGCAGAGCTGTCAGCTCACACAGGTGCCAGTGCAAACCAGCCTCT